GTGAAAAGACCAGGTGTAAATGCCCTCCGAAACGCATTCGAGACGGATATAAATCCGATCACTCAAACCACTTCAGGAGGTGGTCTGGGTCGCATTTCAGACGAAACTCGACAAGTGTAAATGCATCTGGTTGTTGAAACCACGTATGTAAATTTCACTCCTCCCAAAATGATAAAATAATAAACGTGTGAGAGCATGTTATAGGCTATATGACATTATAGTCAGACTGCGCTAATGCAACACGCATCGCTGCGGACGGGTAGCTGAGCATCTCTTCAGCAAGCCGACGCTCAAACTGCCGCGAATGAAACTGAAAGTAAGACGCAGACGGTCAACACACAATCATCTTCATTAAAAGTAGTAAGACAAACTTATCTTTCCAGTGCTGATACCACGCGCTCTCTTATTGCGTATCGGTAACAAAAAAATCGGAAATCGGAATCGGCCAAGAAAATTGCAATCGGTGCATCTCTACATAGCAGGCTTTCAAAGGTCAAAGACCTCCCGAGAATCCATCTTCCACTCACACAATGAGAGAAGTGACGACTGACAGGAGGAAATGTGATTAGGGAGAACACACAGAGCTTTCAGTGAGATTAAGCAGCTCACGGCTCACGAGTGTCTGAGCTCAGAGTTCAGCGAGATACTACAGGACCTCAGTGGGGTTAACAGTCAACAAGCAGTGCCTTCTTGATCCACTTCAGCATTATTACTGCATCAGCTGACCCTCTTGACCAATCACACGCTTCCCACTTACTATCTCAATATTTTATCCTTCTTCCTTCACTTCACTGTACGATATTGATTATTCTGTTACACTCACAGTTAATACCTACATAGGAAAGCTCTGATTTAGTTTCAAATAGTTTTTATGATAGCTTTTATTAGTTTTAATTTTAAAGTCATAGTTAAATAAAAGTACTTAGATTTTTTTTTTTTTATTTATTTACATGTGACTTATTGGGTATTCCTTCATATACAGTGGGTAGTACAGCTCCTACTAGTCGACACTGAAAACAATAGTCGATTACACGACAAAAACAACAAAACACGATTTTATCTGTATATGCGTTTTCTTCGTGTCAGTTGCTGTGAGTTAAAAAATGACCATGCGAAAGACGAGCAAGGTGTGGGATTATTTTGAATTAGAAGGAAACGGAAACGTTTTGTGTAAACTGTGTAATGTCAAATTGTCTTACAATAACTCTACTGGAGTGATGCGTAATCATATTCAATACAGGCACGTAGGCGTTAGCTTAGAGCAGTGGTTCTCAACCCGCGGCGTCTATTCCTCTAACGAAGACCCACTTCGGTGGTGGTGCGGGATGTCCAGGCTCTTTCTGAAACTCTATCGGCTTGCTTTTCGTTATCTCTGCGTGCCTGCGACTTCAGTTCCTGCCGAGTACATTTTTTCAAATGCAAGAATTTTATTGTTAATCGCCTCAGGTCCCGTCTTTCACCAGACCACGTTGATAATTTCACTGAACAAATAACAAGGAAGTAAAATGGGCATTGTTGCATTGTTTTGTTTTTAGACGATATAGCCTACACAAAGTACGTTTTTAAAAGCCGTTTTAATGCTATTTCTTGATAAACCTTCCTATTGTTTTTGCCTTGTGTTTTAATATGTTGGCTAACGTTATATGAAGATTAAGAATTCTGTCAGGCTATTGATTGATTTTCCATTGTTCTGCATTTCCCCAGCTGATTTGAATAAATAAGCTATGCTTTGGCTTATGTTGATATGCTCTTCTTTTTTTTCTTTTTAACGACCGCCTAAAATTAAATGATAACGTGATGCAAGTGTGCGGCAAGCGCAATTCATTGAGGGATTTGACAGTGTGATTCATAGATTAAGTATTTCAAATATAGGCTATTATATATGCTACACGCACGCACAGAGGTTTTTTTTTTTCTTACCATCTTTTGGGGGTTTCTTGCTTTTAGACTAGTCGGATACAAAACTTTCGTTTAAACGACAGTCAAATTAGTCGTGGCGCACATCCCTAATATATACCTGCATTTTACTTTTTTTTTTTAATAAAATAAACAGAATTATATTTTATTTTAAATCTATTAATTTTTATCTAGTTTTATCAAATTTATTCAAATTAGAAAAAAAACTTTTACAATTAAAAAATAATAAATAAAAATAAAAAATAAAAAAATTACAATAAGAAAGGCTCAATATTTTTATGGGAAAAGACATTTTGTGCTTGGCTCTTTCATCTCCCAGAAACCGAGAAAACTACTATCAGAGGGAAAAGGCGCTGTAGTTATTCAAATTCTGTGTTATCACTTCCTTTATTACAGCTCAGCTAAAGCAGAACAGAAACACTATTAAGTAACTTCAGTGCATTCAGTGCTGAGTGTGACACTGCAGTGAAAGAGACTCAAACCATTCTGGTATAAGTATTCCCTTCATGCAGGATACTTCACAACATGCACGTCTTCTACGATCTTGCCTAACATTATACACTAAATCTCTAGAGTTTCCAGATGTCCAAACCAGAAGCAGCTATATTAAGAAGATTCATATTTCTTGGTGCTTCTGTCCCAGTTTCACACAGGTTCCTCTGACAATGCAACACGTCACACACGTAATTTGCTCTTGATACACTGCAAACAATTTTATGCAACAAGCCGTCAAACATTAACTGCACTGACTGTCTGCCACATGAGAGTGAAAATGGGCATATTTACTTGACATTTCATCAGTAATTGTACTAGTTGCAGCATATTAAATGGTTCAAGTTAAACTGAACATAATTCAGCCCCCTTCTGAAGTAAGTGAAACGACACATGAGAAATATTCTTAAGGAACAAAAATCTGAAATATGAGGGGGAAAAAAGAGTGCCAGCGACAGATGACTCAACGGTTTGTCACTCGATACCACTTCTTTTTACGTCGGTTTCTGCATGAAGACCACAGTCATGTAACCCACACGGACACACTCCAGTGCGCAGCCACTGCTGAACCAAAACTGTACCACAACCAATGAGACTCAAGCTGTCTTAGTAAATATAACAGCAAGAGGACACAGTGTGGGGCATTCCCGAGTAAAACATAGATGTTCAAATTAATTTAAACAAAAAAGAATCCAGACATTGTGTTATTTTAGTATTATTTATATAATATTATAATATTTAGAATTTGCTCATTTTATATTTTTAGTTTACATCTTGATTTTAGTACAAGTTTTAGTGATTTTGTTAGGGACATGTAATTTTTACTTCGTTTTTAAAAAAATATTTCAAATACAGTGTAGTAGGACATCATTGACTAAAACATTTTCAAATGAATTTAAAGAAAAAAATAAATGGATCCAGATTGCAGACACAGTGATATTTTAGTATTATTTATATATATTGCTATTTTAATTGGATTATTTTAAAATTTCAGGTTTTTTTCTCAAGTTTTAATGATCTTGTTAGGGGCATTTGTCATATATTTACATTTACATTTACATTTAGTCATTTAGCAGACGCTTGGTAGAAAAGTGGTATCAGTCAGTGCAACGAGTGGGGTACAAATCCTTATCTGCATACGAACGTCAACACATCTACACTGTTTTTGCTTAGCACACTATTTTCTGCAATAAACCATCTAAAATACATTCACAACCAAGAGTATTATTACCTAGCCATTAATTCTGTGTAACTTCATAACTCGCCTGAGGTCAACAACTGTGAAGGCAGAAGCACCACACCTGCATGCTGTCATCCAACCCTTCACCTGGCACACAAATAATACTCTACTAAACACCTGAACACAACTGCTGAATAAGGATTCAAAACTGACCAAAAACACAGATTTTAACATCTTACAGGTAGAACAAGAGAAGTTCTTTGTCTACAACCACAGACTCACAAAACTTGAGCAACAAACAGGTTTTACCTGACATGGAAATCCTTAAACAGAAATTCCTGATTATTTGCTGAATGTCGGAAGTTCGTGACCAGTTACACAAATCTCTGTAAGGTCTACTAGAAGTGAGATGCGCTATAAATAGGAAGAATGCATTTGAGAAGTGCGCTGTAGTTCCACCCAGCAATCGCTTCTTCATTCTCACAGTGAGCTCACCTGAGTGAATAGGTATATCCCGTGTTATCCGGAGTACACTGAGGAGGAGTATACGTGTGCAGACGGGAAAAATCCATGGTAATTCGCTGAGCACGCTGTGAAGATCAAACCAGATGTGAAGAGCAGACTTCTCAAACTACGGCAACAGCTAACGTGTGATGATGGGTGTGACTTCAGTGTATAAACATCACAGTCACACCCATGAAAGCATGCCTGCCTCTGGGAGGAATCCTGATCAGCAACATATGGCGCTTTTCCACTGCATGGTACGGCACGGTACGGCTCACTTTTGGGGGATTTTCCACCGGGTACAGTACCTGGTACTTTTTTTAGTACCACCTCAGTTGAGGTTCCAAGTGAACCGTACCGTTACCAAAACGTGACGTGTAAACTCTGCTGATCACGGATTGGCCGGAGAGAATCGTCACTACCTGCGTCACTGAACTTGCAACACAAACACAACAGAACCGCTAGATTTAAATCAGCACAGCCAGCGAAGCATCGAACGCAACTATTTTGAACGAGCGCACCTTTTTTAACAACCAAAAAGTTGTCTGTTGAGGAAGTACAGACGTTCCTCTCGGTGATAGCAGAGGAGCGGTTCCAGCCAGACCTTGATGGGGCGACGCGGAATGAAAACGTTTTTCAGGAGTCGTGGTAGTAGAGGCGGCGCAACTATAACGACGTGAATAATCCCGCCCACTCTAAAGCGGTACTGAACTGCAGTGGAAACGCAAACAGAGCCGTGCCGAGCCGAGTCGTACCACACAGTGGAAAAGCGCCAATAGGAACAACTTTAGTTTAATTGTTTAGTCGCATACAGGTGACTGAACACAAAGCTAGTGGTAACTACAGACAGCAACTCTTTCATAGTAAACTGTGCTCTTTAATGTGGAAACTCTTCATCTGATTTTGTTGATCAAACAGGAAGTGACAGACCACACCTACACCTTCACAAATCAACAACTGTCCAGTGTGACTTGCACTAACAGGACAGCGAGAGCACAGAAACTTTAGCATGTATTTATTACACAGATATGATTACCAAATGAAGACTTCTGACATATTTATAAAAACTGCATTCACAAAGTGCAATCCCCTGGCAATTAAATATTATTTTATAGCTGAGCATTATTAGCTACACTTATATCCACTATAGAGATTTTGGTAAGAGTTTACAAAAATTACAATTCATTAATTAGGTATCATGAACTAAACTGAAAAAAAAAATTTGTAGAAAAAACTCAGAAATTGCTAGTAAATTTCACAATTATAAAGAAACAGCAAGAAACACATTGAATTAAACAAATTGTTGTAGAGAAATTAAAATAGCATTTTCTTGTAAAATGTACTCTATTTGTCTTTCTTTTTTACAACTTTGAAAAATAATTTTACCAGTGTACATATGCACAATGTTTGTACAGAGATTATTAATGTAGGCTAATATTATTATTTATTGTTACCTTTATATTATTAATATATTTTTTACATTTAATAAATGACACATCAACTTATCTATATAGTAAGTTATAAACAAATAAATTATAATCAAATAAACATGATTAATTATTAAGTATTATGTGAATAATCAAAAGTATATTTATAAATAAACATTAACCTTAATATCAAAGATTTAACAAATGCTGTAAAAATTGCTGTTGTTAGTTCATGATACCCTGTGCATTAACGAATGAAATCTAAACTCTTATTGTAAAGTGCTACTTAAACTTCCATGAAACATTATGATTTCATTCGATCACGATTTAAAATGGTTTGTTTTGTTATGCCATCATTAACCTAACTCAATGCTTTGTTTAGTCATCTGTAGACTAGCAGACCGTAAACTAACCTAAACAAAAACCAAGAGTTTAACTTTCAACTTTAAATTTTCCTCATTATCTATAAGCACTATTATAAGAATTAAACTCATTATGAAGTTGAGATGAAGAGTCAAAACTGTCCTGGACCTTTTGAATGAACAAAACACTATGGTATCAATTAACACAATATTCAGACAATAATAAGAATACTCCGAATTACCCAAAGTCAAATATCATGTTCATTTTGTTTACCTTTCCTCTAATTGCATGCCTTGACATTCTCAAAACCAGAGGAGATCCAGACAACCACTCTCCAGTATCCAAGAGACAGGCTGAACATCCAGAGAAAATCTTTTCCGCCTCTTTTTCTTGTCTAAAACGCACATTTCACAAGCTCAAACAAGCACAGCTATGTTTCAAACATGACCTGCCACTAATAAGACAACAAAACAAGTCAATGGTGAAAAGCATGAGCTCCTTTCTTTATGTATTAGGCAGACAAAAAAGTCAGGATTTATGCTTTCATCTTGATCTATTCACACCTTCATGGCCTTTTGCACCTTTATCTCTTGTGGAAAAGGAGCATTTGCATTTATAAACAAGATAGACGCACAACTCTCCAGATTCTCATATCTGCGCCTCTGCTACATTTGGAATTGCAACATTGGTTGCGTCTCAAAAATAGTGAGCTGCCTAACTAGTCAGCACTTGTGGGAATCGCAGACGCGTTTTGGACGTTCAAATCGACCCGTATTTGCAAATCATGGAGCTTTCGATTCGATGCCCCAAACGTGACTCGATTTCATTGTTTAGAATGAGTCTACAATGCTGACTATGTAGGCAGCTCACTAGGTTTTGACACACAGCCTTGGATTGCAACACTGTATCAGCGCAATTCTTTCATCTAAATGCGTCAAGGGATTTCAGCGCACTTCAATAGTGTTTACGTCTTAAGAGTTGTATAATATATCATATAGCTTACAGAAATAAAACGCTGATTGCGTGTATGACAGATAATCCAGGGCCATGTTTTCTGTCAAGAGTTTGGAAAGAAAGGAGCTTCACTGACTGTCCGCCAAAGACTGTATAACATACACCTAAAATATCACTGTATCTGTGTATATGGCTTGAATGAAAGTATAAATAACAACAAAATATTCCAGCACTTGCCAGTTTGACCATCAGTTTCTACGGTCTCTTGTTGTTTTAAAGGTAGTCCAGTTCAGAAATGACAATCCAGTTCAAGGATGCGCAAAATGTGCGCCGCATCTCGACGGACATATAAAAATAAAAACAGAAACAACCGTGTGTCCAAACACCAGATACGAAACCCGCGAGCTTCGTGGGAATAGACAAAAGTTACGAGCTTGGCTCACAATTACTACTAGGAAAATCCCAAAATGGCTTCCACAACAGAGTAAAGCCAGACGGATAAAGTCGTTCCTCCTATTTTCCAGGCTCAACTGTCAATCACGCGGCATACTTTGAATCTATTGGTGGAAAAGACGCGAGTCACGCCCTCCCGCTCTACGTCACACAGTCTTGGATATAAAAGGATTCAAACTCGTCCGTCAGAAAAGCTGTAGCTGTCTACAGACTCACTTCAGCGTGCAGCGATGTAAATACGGGCATTTGGAGTTAAAATACACAGTGAATAAATGGAAAGAGAGCTTGTTGGTCAATATTTACGATTAAATACCAAATATAATAAAAAAAAACACAACCTGAATCTGACTTTAGTCACAGTCTCTCGCAAAACTGCGCTATTTTGTCAGACAAACCTGTCAAAATTACGCCCACTCATTTTTATGTTAGTGTATACAACACATTAAAAATGCAATTCATACAAAAATAAAGTTAATACGCTTACTTAATGATTCACTTATTTTCCAAGTGTTTAATATTTTGTTAAAAATGTGTAAAAAAAATCATAAAAGCAAAAATAAATAGTTTTAAGCCTTATAATAATATATTATATATTTTATATAATATATATTATACAAATTATAATATATATTAATATATATTTTTTTCATCTCAGACATCTTTATTTGCCACTGACTTACTGTAGACTAATTACTGAAATTAATTCATCCAATTTTTATTTACCAATCCACTGTGCCAAAGTTTAAAAGCAGCTATTAATTGACTTCATCTCCAATACAGAAAAAGAAAAAAAGTCTTGCAATATCAAGCAAAGCAATTCCAAAAGCTGACTCAAGACAGGCACAGAATTGATTTTTCTCTAGTTTTGACACACAATGTCCTTAACAGCCATTAAACAATCAGTCGACACTCCAAAAACAATTCAATTCTCTTTGCAAATTGCAAACCCAAAACATCGTAGGCCTACTGAAAATGGCAAAAATAGACAGACAGACTGTTATACTTTATATTGATCCCCCAAGACAAATTCAGATGCCAAACATTGCAAGGCACAAGCAAATGCAAAAAGACCTTACTCAACAAATGTGGTCAAATTGTGCCAAGAAACACAAATGCTCTGCAATCATTTTGAATAAATGGCAGACACACAACTCTAACCCATTTATTTCTTTAAAAAATGTGGACTCCCAAGCAATGCTTGAATTGTATCCCACAGTCTACAAGTGAAACTTTAAGGCAAACTTTCACACAATTCAAATGTCAAAGTAAACCACAGCAACACAATGAATTGCATGATCAGATTTATGGGTCTCTTGGTGATATTGCGTGACTGTATTTAGCAACTTCCCCTCGCCAAACACACGCTGCAACAGCGCCATCTACCGGTCTCTCAGAGCACCGCTGCAGTGAAGCTAAAACACATCTTATAATGAAACATGTTTGAAGGATGAATATACTGTATACAGGGTGGAGTTACCGCCTAACGTCAAATTATAGCTTACAATTCAAACTCACTACTGATAGAGAACAAAGGAGATGTTTAACCAAACTGCGATATAATGCTGCTATACATATCAAGTTGCCTTTCAAATGAGGTATAATTTAATACTTCATTTACTTGTCGACCTGTTCACTATTATTTAAAGGTGTGAGATAATCACACTGAATAGCAAAATAAATCAGTATAATCGCTAATCGTTTACCGTTTCTTTCTTTCTGAGGTACTTCTGCAAACTCACCCTGGCGGCGGTTGTCAAAGTCCACTGGTGTAACTTAAGTGAGCTACAGTCAAAAACAAACGGCTGACTCATAAAAAGCGTGGATGTCGACGACACGAACGAACCGCGTCCACTTACACCTCACTGTGTGGCTGTGAATACACGAAGAATGAAGTTAGCGGCATCTGCACGATGTCCACACACACACACACTCACTCACTCCCTCACTCACACACACACACACTCCCTCCCTCACTCACTCACTCACTCCCTCCCCTCACACACACACACACACACACTCACGCACTCACTCACTCACACACACACACTCACACACACACACACACTCACGCACGCACACACACTCACGCACACGCACACACACACACTCACACGCACACTCACACACTCAGAGTTTGAGCGGTGAGCGGCGCTCGCGCAGCGAGGCGCTAGTGGAAGCCCCGCCCACAGCAACTGCGGCGCAGGACAGTTATTGCCCTACTGGAAAACTAATTACCAGAATACTACAGGATTTTTTGAAACACCTCTAGTCTTTTGAATGGATTATTGACAATTCATCGAAATTTTTTTAAACGATTGCCTTGGCAATTGTTAGATTTAAATCGATTTAATTGTAAATCGTGAATAGCCTATTACACCCTTCCTTTTTAGCCCATTAAAACAGTTACATATTTATAAATAGGCTAGTTTTTTTTACTCAGTAATGAGCAGTAACGGAATTTGTAAAAAGCAGCTAAAAGTCTTTCATTTGCTGTTAAAATAGTTTAAAGCATTTATTTTACGGTAAATCGATATCATAAGCGAAATAGAGATCATTTAGGTAGGCTATGCATTTTTTCCAAGCAAGGTAAAAAAAAACAACCTTACTATGACTTACTATAATTTATTTTCATTTTTATTAGCTGCAGACATTACATTTATTTATTTTATTTTTTTTATTTTACCATATTGCTACAAACAATGACATCTTGAGTAAAAGGAACATCTTATTTTTATATATTTATTTGATCATTCATTTATTAATTCATTATAGGCCTAATATGGTTATGGAGTATGGAGGCCAAATTACTCAAAATTAAATAATTAAATAAATGTTGAAATATAAAAATAAATCGTTAAATACATAGGCTAATGAAATAATTAAATGTTTAAATGCATAAATAAAATAATTAAATATTTGTTCATTCATTCAGTCATTCCACATTTCATTTTCAGGATTATGGGAAGTGCCTACAACCGTAACTCTGAAAATAAAATGTGGAGGAAATGAATGAATGAATGGATGGATGAATGAATAAAAGAATGAACATTTATTTATTTACGCATTTATTTGTGTATTTAATTATGTATTTAACGATTTATTTATATATTTCAACATTTATTTAATGAATTTAATTTGGCCCTCCATACAATAAATAGAATTATTCTAATTCTAAACATTTAATGTAAAAAAAAAATGTAGCCTACAGGTTTACAGATTAGCGGAATCATTTTGTGAATTTAAAGCAAATTTATCGGCCTGCTACAGTAAAGAAAATGGGAAACTTCATCTGTAGGCCTACCTAAATGTGTCTGGTGTGAAGGAATCTTCTGTTGGTTTTACGTCCAAATGAACTGACGGCGAGTAACGGGGCGGTGCTGCTGATGAAGACCATCATACAGACGCACAGGGACCCGGTGAATGGCAGATATGCGCGTTTTAGGATATGAAATCATCTTCTGCGGACATACTATTTCCTACATCATGTGGATACAGTGAGTGTAATCTTGTTTACTAGCTTCGTTATCATTCACAACCGTAATTACCGGACAAAACAGGAAACGATTACGCGATTCGCATCTGTACGTCCAATAAACATCACAGTGCTACAGTCGCATCTGTGCGAAAAGAAAGCCTTTATTTGATTTCTCTTATTTATTCAAACCGAAGCTCTAGCCTGCATTGTGATATAAAGGTAGGTGCTGATGCTGAGGTTTTAGCATCTGCGCGCGGTGATGTTAGCAAGCACATCTGTACAGATAAAAGAGCAGTGGAATGCGGAGCCATTTATTCCCTAGAGCTTTGATAGAATAGGCTAGTTTGTTTAAAATCCGAATATAAAAGCCTGCATTGTTAGCAAACGTGACTGCTGCTGTGAAAGCCCAAAAGAAAACGACAGCATCATGCTTCTGATTTAGTCTAGCCTAGGCTATATCAGATATAACACTTGCTCGAACGTTTGCGTTTCAATATGTAGGCGGCTCCAGCTGTGTGGAGGAAACATGGACAGCTGTGAGGATTTCTGTGCACGCATTCTGTCTGAACTGCAGTCGGAAATGATGCATGAGAAGAGCTGCAGTAGCGCACCTGCTCGAGGGGTGGCGCACTCGCTCATCTGCTTCCGTGGCAGGCCACTGTTGCGAGTACAAGACATGATAATTGTAGTCTGTATGCTGTGGACTCTCAGAAAAAAGGTACACAGCAAAATCCCCAGAGTTAAATCAACTCTGCTCAGAGTACATATTGTACCAATCTACAGAGTGTTAAAGTAACACTGAAGCAGAGTTACCACTGTTGAGGATTATGTGATATGTTTTCATGTCTAAAAGCCTGAGCTGTAGTTGTTCATCTTCAACATTGTTAACAGCCGGTTTTCTTTACTAATGCTCACTCATCAATTAATTAATTGCTTAATTATCCCATTAACTTTAACTCTGCTTCAGTGTTATTTTAACACTCTGTAGATTGGGACAATATGTACTCTGAACAGAGTTGATTTTGTGTACCCTCTCAAAAGGTACTAATTATATTTAGCCTACTTATGAATTACTAATAGCTTATGAACTTTTAAGGTACTAATATCATGTACCATTTAGGAGTAAGTAAAGTACAGAGATGTACCTTTTAGCTTTTATTAGGTACTGCCCAGTAACAACTTACCCTTTTTCTGAGTGTAATTGTTTTTCTAATGTCTCATAATGTTAGGTTTAATGCTGCACAGTGTGACTGCAATACAAATGGTTCAAGGTCTCAAGGTCATCATTTTTGACAATTTATTTTCTTTGTGATGATAAACTTTAAGCTCAAAACTAAACTAGGTCCTTGCACACTGCGTTTTTTTTCCGTATTCGTCATCCTTTCCTATCAAAATGCTTGCTATGGATGTGAAAACGCAGAAAATCGAACCTGATCCGAATTTTTTTTTTACGACGGACGAAAGTTTCGGAGGCAGTGTGTAAGCATGATTGACACAACGTGAGGTCGTATTTATTTTTTTAACGTGCGAAAATTTCAGACTCAGCAAGTCTTAGCACAA